GTCAAGACCCTGCTGGTTTTAACAGGTTGAGAACGGAACTGGTGACACGTTTATGAGAAAAGTGTTTTTCTCGGCTGAAGATATTTTGCTACCATAGGGGAAAAAAGACAAAACGGGTAAGTTAAAACATGAATGTAAGCAGCTAGTGATAACTTATACAATTCCTAAATTGTGTTTAAATGGAAATTGGGAATTTGAGATTTTTCTGTGAGCTTACTGTTGTTGTTTTGGGGGGTTTTTTGGCTGTTAAAGGGAGATTTTGTGAGGATTCGTCGGTTGCCTAGTAAGACTCGAAACCGTAAGGTCGTGGGTTCAAATCCCGTTAGGGGCCCGACGTAGTGTCCTTGGGAAAGGCACTTTACATGAATTTGCCTCACTTCACACAAGTGGGAATGAGTACCCAGCCATTGACAGTGAAGGATCTTGTCAGTTCGTTAGTGTTTGGGGGTTTCTAATCACCTGCTTGCACTGTATGTTTCCCAGGAAGCTGAGAATGTTTGTGAGTGTTCTATTGTCAGCTGGGGTAATAATTTAGTGTAAAGCTCATTGAGCTTACTGTCAAGCGTTGATAGGCGCTATACAAATGCTGATATAATAGTATTAATAATAATAATGATGAAAATTATTATTATTATTATTATTAAATTATTATCATCATTATTATTATTATTATTGTTACTATTATTATCATCATCATCATCATTATTATCATCATCATCATCATCATTATTATTTATTATTATTATTATTATTATTATTATTATTATTATTATTATTATTATTATCATTATTGTTATTATTTTAAAAGGGATGAAAGGGGTACTCTTTTGATCCAATTAACAGACTTACTTATGACTACAAACTGACGAGGTAGCACTCTGTGTGCGAGTGTGTGTGTGTGGGGGGGGGAGGGGGGTTCTTTGTGTGCGTGCGCGTGTGTGTGCGTGTGTGCGTGTGTGTGCGTACGTGAGCTGGTAAGCATGGGGTTTATTAAAAAAGGTACTCTCTATAATATAGAAGAAATATGAGTGTATGTGTCTATGTTTGTGTGCATATCTGTGTGTCCAAGCGTGAGTACGTGTTTTTCTAAAGGGGGAGGGGGGGGGGGTAAGGATGTATGAGCATGTGTGCACATATATTTTACGCATGTATGTAAGAGTGTGTAATTCAAAGTGTAAGTGCGAGGTCTGTCCAGAAGTGAATCCCTGTTCTATAAAATAAACCATTTAACTTTACAAAAATGAACATTTATACATACCTGCAGAAACATCCTTTCTGTTCAATTTACCAACCGTTTGTCTCAATGCACTTTTTCACTCTACGTTGCTTGTGATCAAACACAGCGACCATGTCGTCCTCTTTGGTTAGGGTCCTTAGTGCAGTTTTTGTTTCGAGCACAATCTCTTCCTCGTCCGCAAATCGCTGCCTCCTTAGTCGTTATTTGATATGGGGGTGAAACTAAAGTCGCATTGAATAAAGGGACATGTTTTGAGAAAAATCTTACAGGTTATGAAACATGGATGTATATTAGGTCGGTAGAAAATTTGAACAGAAGATAAGAATGATTTTAAAAATTATTATTATTATTATTATTATTATTATTATTATTATTATTATTATTATTATTATTATTATTATTATTATTATTATTATTATTATGGGTGCATTTATGGGATCAAGAATTAAAAAGACATCCAATAGTACGGAGTAACCCAGGATCACAACAATCCCAGAAAGCTCGACAGAAACAAGGTGTTTTAAAAGTGATGCGCATCATGTTATTCAATCACAAAGATGTTGTTTTGAGCCACCTTGTTCCCGTTGACACAAGAGTAAGTGCTGACAATAACAAAGCAATTAGAAGAAAGTAGCCGGGTCTGCATGAGTATTGTGTTGTCGTCCATCGTTACAATACATCCGTGCACAGGGCTCGCAAGGTCACCAATCTCCTGAAGTCTTGGCACTGAGGAAGCCTTGAACGTCCCCGCAATTCCCCAGCCAAAGCACCATGCGACTTTCATTTCTTACCCAAAATCAGAGAAGGACCAAGGGGGCAGCGATTTGAAGAAAAGAAGAAGTTGTGCTCGAAACAACGTTAATGCCGCACTAAGAACACAGGAAGAAACGAAACGGACTAATCACTGCTTTTAACCTCTGGCAGCATCGGATGTAAATGTACATTGTCATCAACTGTGGTTATGTTGAATAGGATATATTTATGTAGGAATGAACAAAAGTTCATGTCTATACAGTAAAGATTGTTGATTTTAACAGAACAGGATAACTTACTGCTGAGACAGGCCTCGTACATGGGGCATGTGAATGCGTGCTCACGCAAATTACGTAAATGCGTGTGTGGGTGATTGCATATTGTGTACAGAAGCATGTAGAGTTCTAATTTGTAATCCAGTGAGTAATAAAGTCTCCCTGGAAGGAGTGTAAATTTGTGCATATGTGGGTTGGTGCATAGACATCTAACCTAATGAGACATCACACAGACGTCCCAACCGACCCATTATACAATCTGACCCTGACCATGTTCCAATGTGGACGACAAGAGCTCAGGATAGAAAAGGCATTAAGCAGTAAAATTGTAATTATCTCAGAACCTCGCCTTGGAATGTTTACCATTACTCTCTTGTATACAACAAGAATGATATAGATCTTCCCAACCAATTGTACATCATGAAAGTCTGCTACCTAGAGAAATTGACTGGTATGGAATAATTATCCCAAAATCAATTATTATGAATATTCTATTCGGTAGATCAGTTTGCAGTTCTTACAAAATGGGACGCCCTATTAAACGTATCAATGTGCCATTTTGAGGGTGGAACATTTGATACGCAGACAGGTAAGTGGACGAAAAGGATAGCTGTAAAGAGGAAGGAAAACTTTAAAAGTCCCGTCCATTTCTATTTTGTGTTCACGTTTAACGCTCCAAGAAGAACTTAATGTATCATCATGATGCTAAAATGTTTTATTGACACAAAGGTGCTCACAAGAAAAGAAACGTGGAAAGAAAATTTTACAAGGGAAAAGAAAGAAACAAACAAAAATAAAACATTTGTGAGGCAGCGTGGTGGAATCAGGCGCTCGTCAAAATAATCAATGTGAAGAAACTGGCATTTTTCCGCAGGTTTGTGAATTTTTATCAGTTTTTTTGTTCTTTGGCTCAACACCTTTCCTGCCCATTAATGAACTCGTTTCTGTGTGGATTTTTCTGAAAAACGTTAAGTAAAGGCACAAAAATGTAAATTTTTCCGTTACCACGTACTCTTAAGCTAAGGAAATAACAAATCTTTGGCGGCCATTTTCTCACTAATTTTACCTCTGAAAACAGGTGACCCCCACCTCCTTCTTTCGCAAATATCTCGACTTGTATTCAAGATGAATGTATATTTTTTTAAAATCCAAATAAAGACAAGTGAATAAACTTTAAGATGATACCAATAACTCTGCAAGCCCAAAAATTGACGAGAGCCTGATTCCACCACCCTGCCTCACATTTAATTTGCTTAATCCGCCTTTAATTTTGTTTATCTTTTCGGGAAACAAATTGACCTTTAGTCGTGATCAGAGTAACCACCCAACAACGAAGCGTTAATAATACAAGTGTTGTAACATTTATGCGATACTAGAACTTGTCTGTCTGTTCCTTGACGTTTTTGCAATCCTGTGCGCCTCACCAACGACCATATTGTTATGAATTCTATTTCATTATTTCGCGTCCTGATGTCTGTTTTCCACTCCTTTGCTAAAACCGTTACCCATTTTATTTATTATTACTCTTTTCTCTGTCTTGTTTTCGTGCTTGTTTGATAATACTTTATTTTTCAATAATGCCTTGCACCTTTTGAAAAGATCCTTGAAATTTCTTGTTTTATTTCAAAACAAATTATGCTACATTTCAGGTCAAATTCACAGATAATTGAAATATCATAAGGGTTTAGAGAAATTAATTTGTAGTAAAACAAGCTTCGGAGTAATAGCTCATTTATGTTCTTCCAACAATTGATTGACAAATCGTTTCATTGTAAACGGTTTCTGATTTTAAACTAGGTTCGAGGACAAACTGGAAGTTTGTAACTTTGTTCCTATTCCAGCTTCTTTTCTAGTGGGGTTTTTATTTGTTTGTTGCTATTGTAGGGTTGTTTTTTGTAGGTTGTTTTTTTGTTTTTAACGAGAGGTATGACAGCGACGTACACATTATTATTGAGCTTCTATCTGTTTCGTGTCTTAGCCTCATCTCGTTAACGCTTTTCCTGTTTTGCAAAGACTTGACAATGATACACTAAAAAGCAAATTTTCTCCCACTTTTAACACTAGAAAACGCTGTTGTAATAAAGAAATATGACCGAGAACCTCAAAGGTTTGCCGATCCTACCGTATCTGACTTGATGAGGGCCTTTAAACAACCATTTGAACTTCTCCACTAACTGACGTTTTACAACTTATTTAGATAGAAATTTTGGATGCACTAGCGTATAAGGTGTAGTTGTTAGCCGCATTACCGTGGCACGCAGAAAACGTGAGTTTGATTCCCGTTTGAAATAGGCTTATCGAGTATCTCCGTCAGTCTGCTGAGACATTGTATCCCTCTCAGCATTGGTTGGCCCTGACTGGCAGGATCGAGACAGGCCGCCTCTTAAAGGGTTTTAGTGTTGTCAACGGGAGCGTAAAACAGCTCCAACTACTTTGACATTTTCGAAGATAAAGTGGCTACTCTCCTGCAATGACACACAGCAAAAATGAAATGTGAAATAATATATTATTATATTTAACGCTCCTACCAATGCTATTAGGTTATTTAAGAGGTGGAATGTTCTAGTTTAAGGTCGATCTCCGAAAGGACCGAGCCAAACAGGACATTCATGTGAAATGTCTTCCCAAATGACACAACGTCGGATCGAGCTGAAGCTCAGAACCCCAAACCTGCAATTTCACGAGTACGGGTCAGGCAGATAACCACTAGGTTACCGACGGCACTATCACATTACTGAGAGATATATTTATCATATTGCAATACTTGACCATGAAGCTGGTCCTACTGTTTGTAAACCATGCTTGTAGCCATGTTCTGCTATATGCCTTCTGCAAGATTAAACTGTATGTA